TGGGGCTCACGTTTGTATACGTTTCGGATGATCACCCAAGTGTACTCACTACCGGCCGAACGTCGCAAATCTACGAAACGCTGCGATCTTAGCCAGGTACCAAGCCTCGCTGCCAACAATGCTCGGCACAATGTCTAACGGTGAGCTCGATTCGCAGTGGGCGCAAAACAAAGATGCCTTAGTTTCTGCCCTGACGACACTCGTGGAGTCTTAAAGAAACCCATAAAGATAAGCAACAGTCGATGTTAGCGAACATATCTTTTGATCATTCTTCATTAGGCTAGTACAAGTATACACCAATTACATCGATTAGATAAACTATTCGTTTACCTGCTCCTGGGCATCAGGATATATTGGTTGTACGACTAGGTGTATATCCGAGAGAACGAAAGAACACTACCCGGCATGGCTAGCGACCGGACGCAGAAGAGTATAATTCAGCCACAGCTGCCCACTCTGCCGACACAGGCCACAACCCTAGGCCAGCCGAAGCATTCCAAAGTATTTACAAGGCCCCGGATAATCGATCGAGGTATATGAGCAGACGGATATTAGAAGCCGCTAGAGCTATAGCAATCCGGTTGTAAGAACCAAAGTTGTGCACTCAGAAGCGATTTGTTCATGCCCGATCGAGTAGTGATTTTTACTTAATTGGATCGCGTGAAGTCTCCGACAGCAACCTGATTAATGGCGATAGCTGACCTCTTATAAACTGATTATACCCCGTTTTAAGGACCCCAATAGTCTGTCTAATCGATGAAACTGGTATATAAGTGTACTAACCTAGTGAAGAACTGTCGAAAACATATGTTAGCTAAAAATGACTTGTGAGTCGTCCGAAGAATTAGATTTCCACCGTCTCATTGTCGCTGATGAATAAGCGACGCTTGATCCCATAGGATTCCAGCCATAGTGGAGTACGCCAATCCCTGGGACTAGAGTTGCCCAGGAGTCTGCAAGTGGACCACGAAGCTTGGTGGAGTAAACACGCTAATCTCTCTGGTAATACCAGAAAATTTCCCCATTTTATCAGAGTCACCGAAGATGTTCGGTCAGGTATAAGTGAAACAATATGCGAAGAGGATGGCATCTTAATCACCACTCTTCAACGACGGTTGGAACGATGAGCCGAAAATTTTAGCGCACCGTTTTGTTGCCCTCCAGCTTCAACTGCATCCTCTGACGCTCACACTGTTGCCGAGTGGTCTATCCCCACAGATCCTCCCTCTCACCAGGAAATCGAGCAGCAGCTCCGCCATACGAAGCGTTATAAAACCCTCGGCCCCGATGGTCTTTCTCCTGCTCTAGTTAAAGACCGTGGCGATTCGCTGTTTCGAGAACTCACCGCTTTGTTCTCGAAAAGTTACTCGAATGAGCAGGTTCCATCATCTTAGGGTGAATCGATAGTCATCCCTGTCTTCAAAAAGGGTCTGTGCACAACCTGCTACAACTACATAGGCATAAGCTTAGTTCCCATCGTTTACAAGCTTCTGGTGTCCATGATATTTTCTAAGCTATCCCAAACGTACGAAGCGCTGCAGCAAGAAGAACAAGCTAGATTTCGCTCTGGTCGCGGGCTGCATCAATCAAATTTCCACACCTCGCCAGATCCTCGAGCTCCTCTATGTGTATCAAAAGCAAAGGATTGCTGTGTTCTTGAAGATCCATGCAGCATTAGATTCTGTCGACAGGGTTGCACTGTGGCGATGCCTGCTGAGGAATTGGGTCTCTGAGTAGTTCGTCTCCATACTGCGCGCTTTCTATACTCTGGCCTCAAACAGAGTAAGGGCTTATGGTAAGCCTTCGCCTTACTTTGTGGTCTCTAGTGGAGTTCGACAAGGATACCATATCTCTCCGTTCCTATTCAATTTTGCCACTGACGATGTCTTAAGGAATGCTCTGGGCGATTCGTAGGACGCTGGTGTTGAGATCCTACCAGGTAGTCGAGTTGGACTGTGCTGATGATATCGTGTTGCTGGGTGACGATCCACAGGCCATCCAATTTGCACTAAACCGCCTGGCGATTGAAGCATCAAAGTATGGTATGTACTTTTGTCATCCAAATGCAGGATTCTCTTTCAAGACTGGCAGGTAGTTGTGCTTGCACTCACCCTTGGTGGTGAAACACTAGAGGTTGTAGAGAGCTTCGTCTACTTGGGAATTTTCATCAGTGCTAGCGGGGCTGTTGGAGACGAGATTTCGATGCGCATCTCAAGAGCACGCTTCGCTCTTTCTAGGCTGAGGCATTTGTGGCGTCGCCATGACATTCGTCTCTCCATCAAAAGGCGTGTCTATTGCGCAACTGTTCGTGCTGTACTGTAGTACGGATCCGAGACCTGCCCATTCGTAACGTTGACTTGCGCAGACTATCCGTCTTCGAGCATTGCTGTCTGCGGTCCATTGCCCGTGTGTGGTGGCGGCAGCATGTAAACACTGTGGAAGTTAGACAGTGTGTCTTAGGACGAAAAATCCACTCACCCGGGGATTTTGTCTCAGTGCATCAACTGCGGTGGCTTGAGCACGTATCGTGCGTACCCGTTCAGTGTTAACCGCATAGTGAGTTTTTGTGGATGTGGGACAGGGCTGAAAGAGACGGTCTGGTGGACACCCTACAATTTGGAGAAGCCGCGTAAAAAAGTTGACGAAACAGTTGTCTCGGCCGGCTGCTGTCGACTACATGGTTGGGGTGCGGGAGATGCAGATGATTGCTGGTTGGAGACCTTAGAAGCCATGGCTCAAGATCGAAGTCAATGGCGGACGTGTGCAAAACTATGGTTGTTGAACTGAACAAGAAAATTGATGTTTTTCCCCTCGGTATCGACTTATGACCAGTTGCGAATACGGAAGCGAAGTGTGACGCGAATGTTGACGCATTCTCACTGTTCCAAGTTAGGAGAGGTCTATCAGAGGCCCTTAACACCCCTATATCACTTGCGGATCTCAGGCGCCACTCCACATAAGCAGAGATCCTTTTGGTGGCCGTCTTCGTAGAAGCCGCATGGTACTCTTCGAACTACAGAAAATCTATAAATTCGCCGTCTCCTTCCTGTGCACCACATAATCGTCGGCAGAACCAGACTAGAGAAATGTATTCCATAATACGCGTCATAGTTGAACCAACTGATCATACTCCTTGTAGAATCAATGTGGCTACACTGCCCAAACTTTCCGACACCTGAGGGGCGCGAATCAATTCAAGTCAAAATAGGCTTTGTGAACCCAACTGGGAAGATTTTCATTACTTTTACACTAGCGCTGCGGATGTAGTGAGGCATAAGGTAGGCATGGAATTGCAACAAAAGCGTAAAAAGAAGAAAACATGTATGCAAATCACTCAAGTAAGCGTTCATGCGTGGTGCTGATAAGTTTCCTGGAGTCCACAAAGAAAATGGGATAAATACGGTAACATCGAGTTGTGATAACGTTTCGTGCGTGGAAACAGAACCCAAAATTGCGTGCGGATAGACGAGCAGCAGAGGGCTTTGGATAAATCAGCGTGAGGAGTGGGGTTAAAATGGTCGTTTAAAACATCTGCTGAAAAGTTGTCACATGCGCTAAAGTGCTTGGTGAGGATGAAGCCAACCAGAGGATCTCCGGGCAATCCGCAACACTTGAAAATGAATTTAATGGAACGCACTACTAATGTGAAGTCTTTTTGTAGAAGACCAGAAAAAATGATGGATATGCAATAGAACCAATGAGGTAGAATACAGATAGTCACAAATTTGTAACTTAAAAAGCAGGGTACTGAAGACAATTTGAGCGTCAGAGCATAGAATGGTAGTTTTCGCACCTTGCGGAACGTTTCGTCAACGTGTGTTGATCAAGATATATTGTGAGATAAATATGCAACAGTGGATGAACTGGGTATGTAGTAGTCGTTTACGGCCACAGGGAAGAGATGTTTGCTCCAGTCAGACGTTTCTCAGTGCGGAGAAAATAGAAAGTTACATCGCGGCATTTAGAAGCGTTGAAAATAAGGGATCGGGACAAAGACCACCGCTGCAGATCGTCCAAACCGATGTGTAGAGCCGCTGATGATTCTGCAGTTGGAGCAATACTAAGAGTCAGAGTAATTGCACCCAATAAGAGTTGGGGGAATTAGAAGCATTTCGAGGTATAGAGAGAACAGAAGAGGAGAGAGGATTGCTCCTTTTAAGACACCCCAATCCTCATTAAGAGTGTGGGGTTTTTTACCGTTTAGCTGGGTAACATGAGATTGTTTTATGAGGCATTTGCTTATCGGGTTGCACACTATTCCCAGACAGCTGATTAAGCAAGCTTGAACTGTCGACACTGCCAAAAGCGTCGCTGTACTGAAGGAAGAGGAGCCGCACATTCTTGCATATTGCATCTAATGAAGATGCTGTAGTGTACATAGCGTGCCATAACACCCAACGTGGAACGTTGGGGTCTGTACGCAAACTGAGATACGTTCACGGCTGACGTGCTTGTTGAGATCCAGGGCACAAGTAGTCGCACGAAGACTTTCAGCATGACGGATGTACAGGTGAGGGGATGGAATTTCGTGGACCCCATCTTTGGCACTGGTGTTACCCTGACAGGCCTCCAACTATCGCGAATAATTCCCCCGTGTAGGCACCGATCGATATCTGCTGCCTATCGGGGACCCGCCTGCAGCACTTGAGCTGTGATCACGTTGCGATCCCCTTCAGGTGATACCAGCAGTACTTCCACACTGCGCCTATCCGATGACGATGCAGCTTCGAGCACCGATCAAGCCTGTGTTCGTATTGCTCGGAATCCCCGGGTTGAAGCTGCTCTGGTTGACTGGATCCCAATCAGCAGCCGGATATGTGCGGTCCGATTCGCTGGCTTGTTCAAAGCTTCGAAGTCGCGCAGGACTAGCAGCTATCTATTCGTCATCGCTGCCTATGCATTCACAAACATTAGTGATGATCCGGTAAAAAGCAACATTCATCGCCAACTGAACGAGCTCCTTCGAGAAAGAAGAAGCAAGGACTACAATGCTGGTCGGGGATCTGAATGCTCAGAGTCGGAAATTGTCAACTGATAAACTGCATCTCGGCAACCAGCATGGTGTAGACTCACATAAGGATAAAGGTGAGCGATCACTTCATTAATGTGAAGATGCTCGCTTATTTCTTGCGAGCACTAATTTCCGACACATGATCCGCCGGGGGTGACTTGGCGCCCAACAGCCTCGAACCAGCTATGGACGCAAATCGATCACATTGCGATAAGTTACCGCTGATACTGGACACGGACAACAGGAGACTTAGTGTTAGTGAAACCAATTGTGACGACAGTGGACAGCCTATACACAACTTATCAAAACGCTTGGAGCGTTGGGCTGAACACTTTGAAAGGCAATTTAATCGACCGGAATTGTCAGATTCCTCACTGGCCAGTGATCGCCTTGCTCTGCAGGCTGTCCTTTTGGATCCGCCCTCAGGCTCAGAAGTTGAACGTGAGATCGGACTGTAGAACTTAATAAAAGGCGCGGGACCAGATGATCTTCCGGGGGCCCTGCTATTGTGGATGATTTACACGAGTTATTAGTGAAACTGTGGGAGCAGGCAACTGTCCTAACCGACTGGAGACGATCCGTCACAGTACCAATTTTCAAAGGGGGCTGACGATCGGAATGCGGCAGTCATAGAGGAATCTGTCTGATCTCCATCGCTTCTAAATTGCTTGCCTCTGTCATCCTTCACAGACTGACTGGTACGTCAGCTGGAGCATCGTCACATATATTGGCGCCCTACCGTTGTCGTGTTCCTCAACGTAAAAGGTGCATTCAATTCGGGGGATAGACGTGCCCTTGGGGACTGTCTACTCAGGAAAGGTGTACCTGAGAAATATGTAAATATTATCCGAGCATTATACGCGCGTAGTTCAAACAGAGTGAGGGCTTACGGCAAGCTGTCGTTGCCCTTTAATATCCTCAGCGGTGTGAGACAAGGATGCCTGCTGTCACCTTTCCACTCCAACTTCGCTATTCACGAAGTCATGGATATCGCGTGCACGGGACACAACTTAGGTGTGGAGCTGATCCCAGGTGAACGACTGCCTTAGAGTATGCTGACAATATAGCCCTAATCTGTGACCGCTCAAAAATGTGCCAAGCTGAATTTGACAGCTTAGCACTGGCTGTCCGTCACTTTGAGCTTTGCTTCGCATCCTCGAAGTGCAAAGCGTTCCTCCATAGTGAGCGGCGCTATATCACATCTAGTAACTTATTCACGATGGTCATTGCCGTCCCCGTAGCTCAGTGGTCTTAACCAGGGACTGGCAACAGTCGAGTTAAGGGTTCGAGTCCTAGGAGGATACGATGGAATGCGTACTGCTGACGATTCATGAAAGGATGAAACGCGCGTACAGTGTTTCTACGGGCGTGTGACGGCTGTCTGAGTGAGTCTAGATGTGAGGGATTTCTACCTATTATGTTATATATATATATATATATATATATATATATATATATATATTAGATATACATCAAGCCAGCAAAAAGTATGAAACGGAAACAATAAATACAGACACCACAAAAACGAATGAAAGCTACAAGGTGTTTTTTTGTTTTTACACGCCTTTTATGTCTGTTCAATGTGTGCGATATAAATCAAGAAAAGATTTGCACACATTTTCCACTGGGCGCGGTTCTGCGCTGCTTCGGAGCGCACAGTACACAATGTAATTGTACGTTCGACTATGGTGTAAGGTTGTGAAACCTGGTCCCTTAGATCAACGGACAGAAAGAAGCGTTACGTTCGACCACCGGTACCTTCGCAGTTTGGCTCACATTTGGTGGGGATACCGTATGAGAAATGAGCGTGTTCTACGCTTCGTTTACGGCACAGGAAAAGGAAATGAACCGCTCAGCATCGTTAGTCCACGCACCAGGCTCCGATGGCCCGGCCACGTGTTACGCACGTCAGCCCACCGACTCCCGCGGCGAGCGTTGTTTACGCACCGGAGGCGCAGATGGAAGAAAAGGAAAGGTGGCCAAGCAATGACTTGGTCAAGAGAAATGTAGGCCCTCACTTCGAATCTGTCCCTGATTGGGGTCCGAAAGACGATGAACATGTTTGGCTGGGTACAACTGCTAACATGGCTAGGAGCCGACCTCAATGGCTTTCGTGTTGTGAGTTTTTTGTCCCACCGCATCTCTTAGCCTTCCCCTCTAACCATGATCTCGCTACTTAGCCTTATATAACCTTGCATAGTAAATTTTTTTGCTGCATAGTAGCCGGCTGGTAGCTTTCCGGAATGATGCCCATCCGTTGCTGGCAGCTCATCTGGCATGCAATTGTTGCATTCTTCTTCTTTTTTCTTTTGTGTTGGGGCACATTAGATGAGGTTTTTACACCTGTATCTAACGTGTATAATGATGACGATGAGGAGGAAATGCAACGTGTACAGTTGAGTCGAACCAGTGCAAAAGCAAATTTTGCCGGACCAGTGCATTATTTTAGAGGGCCTCACTGTAAGCATCTGATGACAATGATAGGAAAAACGCATTCACAATATTGGAATGCGCTCTAGATTGAAGAAAGGATGACATGTTTACAACATTTACCCCAGACGATGAATAATCATGGATCAAATGCAAATAATAAAAAAGATGGAAATCAATAAATCTACGGCGCCGCATCATTAGATGCGGGCTTAATGTCACTGTCTTCGCTGAGGTTACTCAGTTCATCGGAACTGGATCCAGTAGAGTCGACATAATCGGCAGATTTGGGTACAATGCTTGAGCTGGCAATTTTGTTTGACTTGGGAGCGGGCTTCTTATTCCGAGGGCCTTTGAGCACTTTGGAATCGACAGGAGTCGGAAGCTCTCCAGAAGCAATCTTGTCTCGATAGATCTGTAAGTCTGATTCGTATTTTTCTTTTAACTGGTTCACACGTGCCTGGTACTTACTCTTAGTCTCACTATCCATATTACGCCATTTCTCCCCAGCAGCCTTGGCTACTTCAGCGACTGAAGTGCCGACACCTATGCTCTTTGATATTTCTTCTCGGTGCTCGTTAAACCAAAGCAGATAAGCAGTCGGAGGACGCGTCGGTGCGTTACGATCCTTAACGCGCTTGGTTCTTCTATTCGGTTCCTTCGCTCTCGGTTTAATCGGTGGTTTTTTCTGTTCAGGCACTGCTGCTGGTTTCTTTTTCCGGGGTTCAGGATCTGATTCTGAGTCGCTACCAGATTGTTCATCGGAATCGCCCTCGCTAGAAGTTGGCTCAACATTGCTATCGTACTCCAAGCCAACTTCCGAAGCATCTGAGTCAGGTGGGGGCTTGAAATCTTCATCATCTTCATCATCGTCGTCGTCATCGTCATCAGCCTCCATCTGTCGCTCACGGGCTTCGGTTTTGACTTTCTGCATGTAAGCATCATGAGATTCTTCAGAAGAAGACCAAGCATCATCGACTCCTAAAGCGCCAGTAACTTTGGATTCGGTGTCGATGTTTTTCACACGCAATTTCTTAGAGGTGACAAAATCATATAACTGATGGTATTCATTTCGATCGATTGAAGTGAAAGTATGTGTGAGGCCGCTCCTGGTTTCCACCTGAAACGACAAAATTATACGAGAAATAATAACCAACAGTAATTCGACCCCGCCGAGTACGTTCTATGGAAAAGAACAAAGGAGCATTGTAATCTTAAAGACAACACATGATGATCATTCGCTGATTATTAGGCAGGAAAATGTTATTACAAGGAATATGGCTATTGGCAACTATTCGCTCCCATTTGTGTGACTTAAAAATCGTCTACTGAAGCTGAACATTCGGTTTCGTGTGCGTCTCAAATGACAGAAATATAGCTGCAACTTAAAGCAAACTAGTAAATTTGATCGTAAGACCAGAATGAGCACAGCAAATAATGTAGGACATAAAAAAGACTAAAGCGATGTACCGGAAAGAGCGATGAAACTATATAGACCATAATATCACATGTAACACTTTCTGTGCAAAGCAATGATGCAGACTACACCAAGTGGGTCCACATGACGAATATGGAGAGAGATACTCAAGCGGTTAGTGGTGGAGTCACTATTGGAGAAGCACTAAGAAAATAGTAGAGTATAAATGAATCACACAAATGCCAGAAGTCCTAGACGTAAGTGGGAAGCCAGGAGCTGCCGCAACTTGAACGCTCGCATTAAATTTACAAGCTCGACATGAAATCTTGTAGTCTGTCATGATATCTCATTCATCTCCCACCCATGTTTGATGTATTTTGCTTCCTCCCTTCACTTCTACAAATTGTGGTAAGTCGATTCCGCGCTGCATCAACATGCCTTATAACGACTGGAGCCATAGCCATTATGTGCTCACCAATATAATCAACAACAACGTTATGTCAGCGCACTGTGAATCGAATATAATACCCAAACGTCCATCCTAGGAAACAGTAGACAATGATACACAAAGGGTCACTGTGCGAAGTTAAGGCTGTATATGGCGATACAACTCTGTCGCGGTTTTCACTTCTCGCGTTTAGTTGGAAATTTAGTTAAAAGGAGCTAGCAGCAAGTTCTGCACCGTTTCTGCCCAAACCAATTGCAGAGTTCCACCATGTCTACCAAGTCACCTTGTCCACTCGCAGGTTCCAGAACTATATACTTAAAGGTCAACCCCATTCTCTATCAGTTGTAGTGGAGCCTTAAAAAGGTAGCTTAGTCGGTTGAATACAGTAGAGTGGACAAGCAAAAAAGGTTACTGCTGGTGCTTCCTTTGCTATCGATTTCTTCTACTTCTCTCCCCGTACCCATTACTAACCTTCCTTCCTTTATTTCCAGCTTATATAACAACAGCTGTAATAACGCTGGAGTTTTGTCAAATAGAGCTGTGTTCCCGCATAATCTCCCAGACGCATATCAACAAAGGAAACCTAGAAAACCACGCTTCCACGCCAGCGTTCAACGTTCGCACTCCAAACAAATAAGTCAATAAGCTGCGCCCGAACGCACGTTGGGCACCATGGATATCGACGTGTGTTGCGTGTCCGAAATAGGGATCAACGACCCTTACAAGCACTCCGCTTACCCCGCCGCTATTAGTTACACGCATTCAGACTTTGATGCGGCAACCACCGGTCAGACTTGGGTTGATATCGTTCTCAGCGCCAAGGCGGAACCATCGCTAATCGATTCGAATTTCCGTGAATATCCGTTTATGTGCAGCCCGTTCGACGACGTCAACTGAGATTGATTTATGTAGTAGCACTAGGCGCTGATTGCTGCGCTTGTTGCCTATGCTTCCGCCAGCCGCAGTTGTAATGCTGTCTAGGATAGTCTCCCTCACGAACTGAACACGCTGCTACGGAACGCTACCAGTTCAGATATCGTTATAGTTGCTGGGGATATAAAAGCGCAAATACGTTGGCTGAACTGAGAGGCTCAGCCAATTTTTGTAGGCATAAGTCTGGACGGGCGGACAACAGGAGCGGAGCGAAGCCTGTTTCCTAACAGCATCGTCTTTAGGTGCGTAAGCGCCACTCGGCGTCTCCTTTTAGTTGGCAATCGAAGGACTTAAATAGATAACGTTGCTATTAGTTACAGGTAGCATGGTTCCATTTTGGTACGCTGACCGTGTTGAAAAACGTGTGTGGGCTCTGATTATGCTTTGGTACGGTGTTGTTTTCGAATGAACTTTACAGCAAGGTGCACCAAACGCCTCCATTGATTGGCAACTTAGAAGCTATACCAATTAGGTAAACCTACCAGGATTCCCAGTGTATCCAGCTTCCACACTCGCCGTAATGACTGAGTTAGAATAGAACAAAATTTCAGTAACCATATATGATGCAAGAGCATCTGCTTGCGACAATCAGTGGATATTCGATAGGTCGATGAACCTGGCTCTGAGCAATATGCAAGCACACGGACTACTAGGTGAAAAGTAATGCGCAGTCTGCGTGCTGACAGAGAGGAGTGACGGACCAGCAGAGCCCAAAAAAACCAAAGAGGCGAGAGCATCGAACAACTATCGCAAACTCTTCCAACTGATCTGCACCCATGGTCCCGGGAAACTAAGCGTTAGTAAGAAAACCAGAGACAACACAAACGCGTTAATTCGTAATATGGCTCGCCAATTGGCTCGTTGGGCGCAGCAATTCTCAGAACAGCTCGGTTGGCTCCGTGCTCCTAAGTACTCTAATACCCATTGTGTGCACACTGAGTCATGACGGGTTAATATGAGAGTCATCATCATCAATACACATTAGCTGAAAGTGAGAAACACATCTCAGCTAATGTGCCGGAAAACTGAAAAAATTACAATACAAAAAATTCGAAAAGCAAGTAATACAAGGTTAGATATTATACTATGCATTCCGTACAACATCTTAGATGGATGAGGAATCTATAGGGGAGGGAGTGGACAAAAAACACAACACAAACACCATTAGGGCCGGCTTTTCACTGCAGCAGCGAGTGTGCCCAACCAAACGTGTTCATCGTAGTTCGGACTGCAGCCAGGCAGTTGGGATGCAACAACCGACGCCAACTTCGAAGTGAGGGTTTTCATTCCTCTAGACCAAGTCACCGCTTGGTCCTCCCTCCTCTCCCTTACATCCCTACACCCCTGGCGGGCAAATAACGCACATCGCGGCACTCGGTGCTGACACGCGCAGCACATGGAACAGCCAACCGAGCCTGATGCGTGGCATAACGGTTTTGAGCGGTTCATTCGGTCTTCCTGCACCAAATACAACACGCCGAAAACGCTCGATGCTCACACAGTGTTCCCATCAGATGTGAGGGAAGATTCGAAAGGAGCGATGATCGAACGTAACTAGCCTCTTTGTCTGTCGATCTGACGGGCCACGTTTCGCAGCAAGGTTGGATGCAAGGGTGCATCGTAAACTCTACCCTTCAAGATGACAGTCATGTCGCGATGATTCTACAAGTGGCGGAGATTAGCAAAAGCACTTCGAACTTTTGCTATACGGTTCGTGACCTCATCTTCGATCCCACTAACGCTAAGATAGCAGCACAGGTACTTGAATTCCTGAATGACTTCTAGCTGATCACCACCAACAGTCAGCGCAGGAGGGGGGCAATGCTAAACTTGGAGAAGGACTTTGCATTTCGAAAGAGCAAAACATAGGCTGCAACGGCTGACAGCCGGCGCTAATCTGTCCAGCGTAACTCCACACGTTTGCGAGCTGTGACAGATTAAGGCAACATCGTTGATGTACTCAAAGTCAAGAAGACCTGCACCAAGAAGCAGCTCCATACCTTGTAGGTCACGTTCAGTAAACGCCGTCTCCATCATCAATCGCGAAGCTAAAGAAGGGTGGCAAACTTGTCTCACATCAACTCTGACCAAACTATGAGCTCTGGGCTCTTGTAATATTTACATACTTAGCTGGTTTATATTTCCTGACAAGATAATGCCAAAGGGCACCTTTATTATCTAGGAACACAACTACGACAAGTCATCAATAAATGTGGTGATATCCCAAAAACTGACTTAAACCAGTGGCCAATGTTGCCCCGATTTCGACGAAACCCGGTTTGCTCCTCACGAACCTTGCTTTCACGATTGCCAGTCAATCTGTGAAGGATGACAGAGGCACGCAATTTGGAGGCGATGGAGATCAGACTGATTCCTCTGTGACTGCCGCAATCCGAAAGTGAACCTCCTTTGAAATTTGAGACTATAACCGAGCGGCTCCAATCTACTGAGACAATCTCCTGCTCCCACAGTGTCACTTGTAATCCATGTAAATCAGCAACAAGAGCAAGACCATAAAATTTGAAAAGGACTGTATGAAGATCATCTGGTTACGCGGCCTTATTCAACTTCAGCAGTCCGATCGCACGTTCGACTTCTGAGCGAGAGTACGAATCCTAAGGGATAACCCAGAGAGCAGGGCGATCAGCATCTGGCGAGAAATCTGACAATTTCGGTCGATTAAATTGCCTTTCAAAATGTTTAGCCCAACGCTCCTAGGGTTTTGACAAGTCGTGGATAGGCTGTCCACTTTCGTCACAATTTGTTTCACTAACAGCAGGTCTCCTGCTGCCTATGTTCCGTATCAGACGGAATAACTTCCGATGGTTACCAAGATAAGCTGCCACGTCCATCTCTGACGCAATGTGAGACCACCCGGATTCACGGCCTCTTTTCAGACCAGCACGGAGTTTTGCTCTGAGAACTCTGCGGGCTACATTGCGTTCGCTCCAAGCCTTAATGTGTCGGCGAGTAGTGATAAGCTAAAGAGACTGCGAAGAAACTCAATATTTGTGTTGGTTATTACTAGTAAGGTCTGGTGAACATGCGAACAGTGACCAACTGTATTCAAAAAGTGCTTACTCAACCCGAATACCAGAGTACTTTGATACGCATTTAGAACAGCTAGCTTCGCCAGTTGGCTGGTGTCTATTCGCCCAAGGGTTGTCGAGCACGACCACCGAAACGCACACGCAGATCAACACACACAAAAGTGCATGGTCAGTGTCCACGCATGTGCTCTAAATCGAGCGACAGTTTTGGACGCAGCCTCTCCAGCGGCAACTGTTCGCAATTTGACCGACTGGCGTCCATGGCTGGCCCG